GTGGACTCCATTTGCACTATTTCTGGCAGTCTGCAAAGGCCCTAAGGAAGCAAATACATAGACCTCTGGAGGGTCTTTGCATTTGCAGCAAGAGACGGATCCCTATTTTAGATTTGATCTGAGCAAACTGATAGCAGGCAGCTGGTCTTCTAAGAAAGCTATGGATTTGCACGCAGTCCTTTCCTCTTGCCTGGAGTGATGCCTTCCAAACTGGAGGATCTGCATCCTCCTCTCCTACCTGGAGATGACCTTCTACAAAAGCTGAAGACTCAGAGCCAAGCCCTTGGGTCTGGCAACCTTATAAGCTCATCTGGTACCTGCAGCATCCTTGTCAGCTTTCGGTGCCCATCCGCAGCTGGCATGGCTGGTGGGCTTCCTCTCCACTGCCCATAGGACTCTCCTGGAGCCTGGTTGCCACCAGCTCTGCAATGCTTTGCCCCTTCATGGCTCCAGGCTGGCCCTCTTCCCCCGCCGGGTGGACGTTGGCCTTTCTTCTTTTCCTCTCGGCCCTTCCCAGTCCCACCGGTCAGTGGCAAAGATGCTCAAAGGTCCCTTTGGATGGGGAAGGGCGGCTTTTTATGCCCGTCTTCCTGTATAAATCAGGACTGGGATGGACAATCCAGGCAGGAAGTCCTGTGTGTGTTGCCGGCTGATAAGGAGTTGTGTGTGCGAGAAGTGAACAAAAGGCCCAGGTCCCAATTCGGGTGGGCCCAGGAGGGCATTTTCATAGGAAGTCACCATCTGGTGCTCAAAGAACCAAGAGGAGATGAGAGCATATAATCATAAGGATTGAATCGCTCAGTAGAAGACAAACTCCTGCTTTGCAGGCCCACGCTTCTCATTTGGGTCCCTGACATATTCATAAGGATCAGGAGAGCATCTACATGGCAAAATAATAGCGCTTTGGTCCCGCTTTGACTGCCACGGCTCCATCCTATAGAACCCGTGGCTTTGTAGATTGGTGAGGGGCATCAAATTTCTCTGCTAGGGAGATCTAGTGCCTTTCTCTGAGTTGCGATTCCTAAGAAGAGTGCCATAGGGACTGTAGATAAGGGGAGTTGGCTGGTGGTCCCTAAAAGACAACTTCGTCCCTCAGCAAACTAAAAATCCCAGGATCCTTTAGGATGGAGTCCAAGCGGTTCAGGTGATACCAGACTTCTATACTTGTATAGTCTGGATACCTTCTGAGCAATGTTGATGGGGGATCCTTCTCCCCTTCTCTCCCCAAATGAGATCCCAAAGACCAACTAGCTATCAGAATAAAAAACATTGGGTTAAGAAGATGAATGCACCGATTCAGAATCAAGCATAACCCAGGGACCTATGTGGAGCAGCCAAGCCAAGTTACTTCGCTGCTAGTGCCCAGCTCTTAAAAACATCACTTGTTTGGTCTACTCTACAACTTTCCAAATGGGTGGTCTCTGGAACATTTTAGTCTGAAAAAAGTAACTTTTACACATTCTGCTAGTGTCTTCTGTGAAATGTACAGCCTTACACGTTGCAGAAGGTACTAGCAGGGCATGAAAATGTGACTTTTTCAGACTACAGCCAGCCTGCCATATCCACAGTTTGTTTTATCCACCAAGTCACACTTTCACTTTTTCAGACTACTTTCACTTTTTTTAAAATGTTGATAATGATTTAATATATTTTTAAGGGGGGTTATATGTCTATTATAATTGTATGGGATTGTATTTTAATTGTAAGCCACCTTGATAGCCTTGGCTAAAGGCGGGATATAAATTTATTATTATTATTATTATTATTATTATTATTATTATTATTATTATTATTATTAACAGCTTTAAAATGTTTTTTTTAAAATATATAAATTCCAAAAAGAAAACTTTGATTTTGGCCATTTTATATAAGGGACACCAATTTACTATGCTATTTGTATTTAATGGGACTTGAGCATCCATTGATTTTGGTATCCACAGGGGAACCAAACGCCAACAGATACCAAGGACCACTGTACAAAAGTTGTTCTACAGTTTATTTTAATAAAGCCTAAATACCCTGTTGAGTCTTGGAGTATGACTCTGGAGACCAGGGTTGTATTTGCTGCTCAGCCATAAAACCCACTAGGTGACCTTGGGCAAGTCACACTCTCTCAGCCTTAGAGGAAGGCAATGGCACACCTCCTCTGAACAAATT